CTAGATTTAGACAGAGAGAGTGTGTTTGAGCCTCGGACATTATCAGGAAGACTATTCCAGAGTTTAGGAGCTAGATGGGAAAATGCTCTCCCTCCTTAAGTGGACTTATATATCCTAGGTACTACTAAAAGTCCAGAGTTTCGTGACAAAGAGCGTGATGAATTGTAGGGCATAAAAAGATCAGTTAAATATACAGGAGCTAAACCATTTAGTGCCTTATAGGTCAGTAGCAATATTTTGAAATCAATACGGAACTTAATAGGTAACCAGTGTAGAGATTATAAAATTGGGGTAATATGATCATATTTTTTGACTTGGTAAGAAATCTAGCAGCTGCATTTTGGACTAACTGCAGCTTGTTTATTGAAGGTGCAGGACAATCAACTAGTAGTGTATAACAGTAATCTAGTCATGGATGCATGAACTAGCTTTTCTGCGTCAGAAACAGATAACATGTTCTGTAGCTTAGCAATGTTTCTGAGGTGGAAGAAGGCTGTTTTTGTAACATGAAATATGATTTTTGAAAGATAAGTTGCTGTTTAATATAACACCCAGGTCTTTAACTGCAGATGTTGACATAACAGTACATCCTTCTAGTTGCAAATTGTATTCTAAGAGATTATGTGTGCAGGTTTTTGGTCCAATAAGTAATACCTCAGTCTTGTCTGAATTTAATAGAAAACGGATCCTTGCAGCACCCCATAATTTACTGATGTTAACTTGGATTTTTCATCATTTAAGTAGACAAAATGGTAACTGTCTGCTAAGTACGATCTAAACCACTGTAATGCCTGTCTTTGAATACCAGTGTAATTTTGTAGTCTGCCTAAGAGTATGTCATGGTCTATAGAGTCAAACGCAGCACTAAGATCAAGTAAAACTAGTATTGAGACACATTCTTGGTCAGAAGCTAGAAGTAAGTCATTTGTAATTTTAACGAGCGCAGTTTCTGTGCTATGATTAGGCCTGAATCCTGACTGAAATTTTTCATAGATGTAATGTCTTTACAGGAGGGAGTACAATTGAGTGGACAACTTTTTCTAATATTTTAAACATAAACGGAAGATTTTAAATGGGTCTGAAATTTGCCAATTCATTTGGATCTAGTTGTGGTTTCTTAATGAGAGGCTTAATAACTGCCATCTTAAATGGTTTTGGCACATGACCTAGAGATAGAGATTAATTAATAATATTGAGAAGAGGCTCTTCTGCTACAGGTAACAACTCTTTCAATAATTTAGTGGGAATGGGATCTAGTAAACATGTTGTTGGTTTAGAAGTAATGATTCATTTTAGTTGTTCTTGTCCTATAGTTGTAAAGCACTGTAATTGTTCTTTAGGGGCAGTAACAGAGGCTGGATCATAAAATGTAGTCAAAGGTTGTACATTTACAATTGTATTTCTAATAGTTTCTCAGTGAAGAAATTCATAAAGTTATTACTACTAAACTGTGAAGGAATATTCAGTTCAGGTGATGTCTGTTAATTTGTTAGTCTTGTGACTGTATTAGATACCTTGGATTGTTTTGGTTATTTTCAATTAGTTTGCGGAAATGCTCAGCCCTAGGTACTTTTAGAGCCTTTTTGTAGCGGGATATGCTTTCTTTCCATGTGATTTTAAAGACCTCTAAATGAGTTTGTTTCCATTTGCGCTCTAGGTTACGAGTATCTCTCTTGAGAGCCTGAGTATTACGGTTGTACCATGGCGCAGTACATTTCTCTCTAACAATTTTTAATCTGATGCGTGTGACAGTGTCTAATGTTAGAGAAGATTGTGCCCATACTGATAGTCATTTCATCTTATTCATTTGTGTCTATGGGAACACTGAGCAGCTGATCCAGATCAGGCAGCTTATTTGTGATTATCTTTAGTGGTTGGGATAATTGTTCTACCTAATTGGTAACGCAGAGCGATATGACAAAAATCAGTGGTATTAAGTACACGCGTTACAAGGTAGTGATCAGTAACATCATCACTTTACTCCATAATGTCTTTATCAGTAAGACTGGTTCCATGCGATATAATTAAGTCTAGTGTATGTTTGCGACGATGAGTGGGTCTAGTGATGTTTTGCATGACCCCAAATGAGTTTAGTAAATCTGTAAATGCAACCCCTAACGCATAATTTTTATTATCAACGTGAATGTTAAAATCTCCGACAATCAATGCTTTATCAACATTGACCAGAAGGTCTGAGAGAAAATCTGTAAATTCTTTTAGAAAATCAACATAGGGCTCTGGAGGTCTATACACGGTAGCCAAAACGAATGATAGCAGGGATTTTTTTCTTCTGTCTGTAAGCATAATATTTAGCAAAGTAAACCTGTGTCCTGTTTTCTGAGTAACATTAATAATATCTCTGTATATTGTTGCGACACTGCCGCCACGACCAATCAGATGGGGCTCATGCTTATAACAGTAGCCTGGAGGAGTAGACTCATTTAGACCAAAATAATAATTTGGTTTAAGCCGGGTTTCAGTAAGGCAGAGTATATCAAAACTATTATCTGTGATAATTTTGTTTACAATAATCGCCTTAGGTGTGAGTGATCTAATGTTTAGGAGCCCAACCTTTAGAAATAATTTTTGTTCACTTAATTTGTGATTTTCTGATTTAATCACTTAATCTCATAAGTGAGCAGTTCAGATGTCTGAGATCGAGAATGGGTCTGAGCCCGCCATCTTTCTTGGGAATGAGGGAGTAACACGGCTGTAAAAACCTGACTCGCTGTTCGCTAGAGGAACCGTTTCCATGGCTCCTTTTTTGCAAGCAGTGTTTGTACTTCGGACTGGAGAACAAGAGCATTGTTGTTCCATACCGAAGTTTGAATAACACCTCTGAAGCGAGGTGGCCTGTGAGCGAACTGGAGCGAGTAGCCTCGTTCTATGGTTTTTAGAACCCAACTTGACACTTGCATGGAGCTTCCATCACTCTGTGTTAAGTGGAAGGGATGGAGAGCGACCGTGAGCTTTCTTTGAGGGAGTTCCAGCCTTGGCGAGAACTGACCCTCTCCTCTTCCCCTCTGCGTTTGGATCAGGATAGCTTCTGAGGCTCAGGGTCCAACGTCACTCTGGAGCGGGGACCTTGGCGCTTCGAAAATGGGTAGCGTCTGAAGCCCAGGCCCAGGTTTAGGCTGGAGTGGCACTGGCTTGGCAGGCTGCTGAGCGGATGGAGCCTTTTGGTGACTTGAACCAGCCACCGCACTAGTGTGCTTCGGCAGGAAGTGAAGCATTGCCTGCGATGACTTCTGTGCCGCTGTAAATCGCTCTGTAAACCCATCCACGGCAGGGCCAAACAGTCCCTTAGGAGAGACTGGTGAGTCTAGGAAGGCGACCTAGTCAGCGTCCCTGATCTCTGTTAAATTCAGCCAAAGGTGGTGCTCCAGAACCACCAAACTGGCCATGGCCTTGCCGATAGCCTGCGGAGTGGCCTTAGTAGCGTGCAGAGCCAGGTCAGTCGCTAAGGGATCAGAACCCTGGCCGGACTCGTCCATGGTGCGGAGAATTTTGGCCTGGAACACTTGAAGCACCTCTGCTTTAAGCCTCTGTTATATTTTCCACGTGCGCGAGAGTCTGCTAGGGTCCGCGTGATGTAAAATTCGTCATCGGAGGGTGTACGCAGAGGCACAGAGCGGACATCCGCATGCCTCCCATTTTTTGTGACCACACAGACAAGTACGCCCAGACAGTAGGCTACAAAAGCACCAACTGCGCTGCACATGCGCTGGAAACACACACACCACTTTCTTGCTCTCCGCCTTTTCTTCTTTTGAATTAGCTAAGTACAGCAGACAAAGCAGCTCTTCCTCCTGCATGGACGTCGCCATGTTACTGTTTTTACTGTTCAAGCCGATCTACTGCGCATGTGTGGAATATGTCCACCGAGCAGACCCACCAGCATACACTTTTAGTAGTATAAATACAAGTAGTCCGCGTCCGTGCTGTCTGCAGCTGTCCGTGTACGTGTCCAAACTGGAGTATAACAGAGGCTTAACACAGGATTTAGGCAGCGCTGAGAACTGCTCTCTCCTGAAGAGGATGAAAAACCCCGCGCTCTGACTGTAACTCAACAGCTGGGTTGTTTCGTTGGAGGGAGGGGAAGTACATGACTGTAGCAATATTATAGAAATAATATCTCAAATAAAATAACTTTGTTTGAATATATTTCAAAACATTATTTATTCCTAAAATGGCAAAGCTGAATTTTCAGCAGCAATTACTCCAGTCCTCAGTGTCACGTGATCCTTCAGAAATAATTATAATTTGCTGATTTGGTGCTCAAAAAACATTTATTATTGTCAATGTTGAAAATGGTTGAAAAAGTTGCTTTTTGTGTAATATCTTTTTTAAAGATTGTTTGATGAACAGAATACTCAATAAAACAGCATTTATTTGAAATATAAATCTTTTGTAACATTATAAATGTCTTTACTGTCACTTTTTAATCAATGTAATATGTCCTTGCTAAATAAAAGCATTAAGTTCTTTCAAAACAAATCTTACTGGCCCAAGCATTTGAATGCTAGTAGATTCTATTCTATTCTATTCTATGTGGTTAATGACATTTCTCTGTAGTAATGTTCGTATAAGTCTTTTTAATTTAGCAAAGCAGATGATCCGTCATCATTCAATGACAAAAAGTTATATACTTTCAAAACAAATCTTACTGGCCCAAGCATTTGAATGCTAGTAGATTCTATTCTATTCTATTCTATTCTATTCTATGTGGTTAATGACATTTCTCTGTAGTAATGTTCGTATAAGTCTTTTTAATTTAGCAAAGCAGATGATCCGTCATCATTCAATGACAAAAAGTTATATCATGCAGATGCATTTCGAATCACGTTCCCAGGACCAGGTTGTACTAGCCTACAGTGACCAGCTGGAGGAGTGGTAGACATTTATTTTGGCATCTCTGTTTGTCTGGCGATGGGTCTTGCTACATGAATGAATGAAGTGTCAGTGTTTAGGACCAGGGGGAAGGGTTTGTGTGTGAGCGTCCGCCGCAGCCCTGCCCAGCCTATTTTTTTCTCCTGACGTCCTTCCTTGATGCCAGTGTCACACGCCGCTGGGGATGAACGTTTTACAGCCACTGGACAGTTTTTATGTTTGGGAGCATTGACATACCCTGCCTCTTCGAAAAGGATATTGTTCACTGGTCTTTGTTGGGACGGGAGTGTGCTCGAGATACGCTTAATAGTTTGGATTTCGTATTGTACCCGCTGTTTATTTATTAATATATTGTTTTCCTGCAACTGTACACAGATGACTCTTTGAAGGGGACACTGCGTCCGTGGGAGTGGTTTATTTTCGCTGGACAGCCCAGGCTCATTGAAAGAATGAGTCTGTTTTCCCCGGTTTGATGCTGCGGTAGTTCATTTTTTTCTTCTGTTCTGCTTTTGTTTTCTTTCTGTCTGTCTCGTGATCGTTGACGGCTGATCCTTGAGGATTGAACATACATTTCTGCGAACCAGACTCTGTATATGGACATGTTATGAGAACAGTTGAGTGAGACGTTTTCGTCTAGCTAAGGACAAAATGATCTATTGTTCCGGCTAGCCAAACTACCACAGACATGAGCATCATATAGCCTTTTTATATATATATATATCTTTGTTCTCATCCCACATCCAGTAAACTTGACCGAAAATGAGGATTGTTTAAGGAAAACGCTATACTGGTGGTCGGAGAGGGCAGCGATACCCTCGCGATACTGGCTCGGCTGCTGACTGTTTCTCCTGCCTGTGCTGATCAATTAGCAACTGTACACGGACCGCTGAAATAAACGCAGGGTTGCTGTAGGCTGAAGCTCCAGGGACGATGTCCTCACGCCCAGCGCTGCAGCCGGGGAACGAAAGGAATGTAGACCACGTAAGTGGAACGCTTTTACGTCATTTAATTCCACTTGACGAGCAGTTGATTTGAACTTTTGTCGTCAAAAGCAGTGATGGGAAGTGAGGCTTGCGAGTCGGTTCTTTCGAAATCTTCGTTTTGAAGAAATGGTTCAAAATAGCAGATTCAGCGACTCCTTTCCGTCATCACGTACTTATTAAGACATCATAGGATGACATTACATTTTCTGTGTTTATAGTTTTTATGCTGTTTGCTGTTTGTTACGGGTTTTTAAATTATTATTATTGATATTAAGGGTGGTTATTGTAATTTCACGTGTCCTAGTACAGTTTGTTGCAGCCACTATTCTGCTTATTAAAAAAGTCTTTGAAAAACTATATAGGCCTAAAATTTGTATTGACGTAAAACAATATCGTAAAACAAATCGTTTGGCTGAAAAAAAAACGGATTCTGAACTTGTGTGTTGATAAAACTGCAGTCAGACATACTCAGAGGATGTAATATTTTCATTTGTGACATGTCTTTGATTAGATATTAAAGTATCTATTGGCCAATTAATTGATTCAATCCATACAAACAACAAGCCCTACACTACACTGCCCAAAAAACTCGCTTTAAATATATAAAATATGAAAACTCTTTAAATATAAAAAACTTACTTACAGTCTTTGAGTCAGAAGAGCCAGCATTGTAGTCTACTCTACCAGGATCAGGAAACGGTCCTCCATAAATGTGCTGCCCACACCTGAATATTTGGGTTGAAGTGTTCTGGAACAGTGTTGTAAATACAACTTAACCACTGATTTCTTGTCGTGTCCATTTTTGGAAGGCCAAACAAAGTAGTTTCGCTTTCACAACGAATCACACAGCGCCTTCACGACATGGCAGCAGCAACAATACTACAGCGAGAATAAAAGTTATGCCTTCTTTCTTTGCGTGAACATTTGGGCGGCGTTATGCAAATCTTCCCACATAGTGATGTAGATATGTGGGGGCGTGTTAGAACGAGCCGTTTTAGGTAGGTGTGGCTGACTCTTAACTTTTATAAAGAATATCTCTTTGGATTAGAGACTTTAGTCTTTGCAACTTTACAGATCTTCTTTATGCACCAAGAGCTTGTAACACTCCAAAGAGAAAGGAAAAATTTAAATTGCATCATATGACTCCTTTACGTCAGGCAAGATATGAAGCTGGACATTTTTATGGCAAGATTGTGCAAGATAATTTTTAGTAGACTGTTGCAAATATGGGTTTCACACATAATGTAATTAACAGTTAAAGGGTTAGTTCACCCAAAAATGAAAATTAGCCCATAAATTACATCCTAGGTTTATATGACTTTCTTCTTTCAGACGAATCCAGTCAGAGTTATATAAAAAATTGTCTTTGATCTTTCAAGCTGATTAATGGCAGTCATCAGGTGTTGCAGTTCATCAGTCCAAAAGAAGTGAAATTAAAGCACCCATCCATTAAAAAAGTGTCTCATACGGCTCCGGGGGGTGAACAAAGGCCTCCTGTTGTGAATCGATGCGTTTTTGTAAGAAAAATATCCATATTCAAAATGTAATAATCACTTTAATGTAGCTTGCGCCAACAGTTGTACACGGAAGCAGCTCCGGGCGGATGACGTATGAGGTCGGTGTTGCGCATGCTCCGGTGAGTCTCGTGAAAACCAACGTTTGTTAACAGGAGCAAAGAAAGCAAAGTTTCCTTACTTTAGCAAAGGAAACCCAGTCTCCTCTTGGCTTATATCGAATTCCTCTGACATTCTTCTTTACAAATCCTCGTTTTGTACTTCTAATTAGTGACCGTTGTTTTGTTTTGATCTCTACCCTGCGCTTCCGCATTCGTCACTTCTGAGCGGCGCATGCGCAAAGCTGACCTTATACGTCATCCGCCCGGAGCTGCTTCCGTTTACAACAGTGAGCGCAAGCTAGATTCAATTGATTATTACGTTTTAAATATGGTTCGTTTTCTTACAAAAACGCATCGATTCGCTACAGGAGGACTTTGTTCACCCCCCGGAGCCGTGTGAGACACTTTTTATTATGGATGGGCACTTTTTATTTCACTTCTTTTGGACTGAAGCACTGCAACACCCGATGACTGCCATTAAACAGCTTGAAAGATCAAAGACAATTTTTAATATAACTCCGATTGGATTTATCTGAAAGAAGAAAGTCATATACACCAAGGATGCCTTGAGGGTGAGTAATTTATGGGATAATTTAAATTTTTGGGTGAACTAACCCTTTAAGAAGTGCCGTCTCTGTTTCCACTTCAAACTGTCACATAGCATGTGAATCCGTGTATCATTCGATCATTCGTTTTTTTATTTAATATTGAAAGTAGAAAAATGAGAAAACGGCTCCTTTTTCGTGTTTTTGTTTTTTTCCGAAAAACGAGAATTCAGCTTAAATTTTCGTTTTTCGTTCTTTGGTGGAAAAATTAATAAACAGCTTGAATATTTGATTTCTACACGTGGGCGGGAATTAAACGCCCCTTTCTGCTGATTGGTCAGCCGAAGATCAAACCGTGCCTTCTTCAGTTCTTCTGCAGTATCACGCAGCAGAATAATAGTCCTCCACTGCTGCAGTTGTACGGATTAATAACCCATTTTATTGCAACTACATTTCATATTTTTCTCATCAAACAAACAGGCTAATGAATAGCTCAACATAACTCATACCGGGGCAGAGTCTAGACGGGGCTTTCTTCTGTGTAGACCAGCGGTTCTAGTTTATTTAACCCAACGCAATTTATTGGAACTGTGTGAACTAGAGTGACTACTCGCCTTAATGTTGTTCTAAAGGCTTATTACTTAATAACACAAAAATTTCCTGCTCGCACTTGCCAATTTAATGGCAGAGAATGGTGACTTTAGTTTTTTTTTATTTTTTATTTTTTAAGCGGATGCATATCTGTCGTAAAATAATCCTATGCATCTATGGCGTATATTCCAAGCATTCTGAAGGTATACTGAGGGTTTGGTGAGAAACAAACTGAACTGGAAAGTTATTATATTTTATGAAAATCTTGCGTTGCAGTGCGAGTGCGCAGCAGCTCACGTCGCGCACAAGTGCATATCCTTTTGAGATATCATATAAATTAGAATCAATTTTAATAAAACACAAGACTACATTATATAACCCTAACAGTAAGCTATATTTAATATCTGTTGTTCTCCGGTTGTCAGTCAGAATGACAGTTCTTGCGTGAACATAGGCCTATATATACCCAAGCCAATTTATTATTCTTTCCTTTTTGTCTTAGTGTTTAAAATATTTATTTTGAAACTAATTAATTAATTACTTAAACAGACTTACTGGGTGAGCAGGGTAGGCTAAGATCAAGAGCAGAAAGTGATTTTCTTTGTCTTTTGTTCTTTGATTAACATGACAGACAGCAGCAGTAATATTGGACTGCGGTCCCTTTAAGAGTTTATCCACGGACCCAATATACTGTTGCACAACATGCGTTCTCTTTCTTTTTTCCAAAACTGACTGTTTAACTGGGTACTCGCCAAGATGGGCATTTTGACATAATTTTGTATGTATTTGAACGTTTTAGCGCAGTTAGACACTCATGTTGGTATTTGTGACTCACAAGCTGTTTGAGACTGAGCATAGCTTATATAGATCAGTGGTGGTTACTTTTGGTGTAAGCGCGAAACCTGCGAGAATGATAATGCGCAATACAAGCACCATTTAAAGAGATAGTTCACCCAAAAATGAAAATGGGATATTTATCTGCTTACTCCCAGGGCACCCAAGACGTAGGTGACTTTGTTTCTTCAGTAGAACATAAACGAAGATTTTTAACACCAACCGTTGCAGTCTGTCAGTCTTGTAATGGAGGTGAATGGGAATCATGGCTTTGAGAGTAAAAAAAAAACCATACACAAACAAAACCAAATTGAACCCTGCGACTCGTGACGATACATTGATGTGTAAAGACACAAAACGATCATTCTGTGCAAGAAACTGAACAGTATTTATATCGTTTTTTACCTCTGATTCATGTAATGTCCGAACTGTTCGAACTGTCCTGAGCGCGTTCTCAACAGCATCTTCTTCTTGCTTTACTGCAGATCGCAGACTTATAAGTGCATTACCGCCACCTATCTCTCAAATGGACCATTGACACTCCTAATTGAGATTGTAGATAGAGTGTCAATGGTCCATTTGAGAGATAGGTGG